TAATCAACATTATGACACAAATGCTGTCAGTTGAGCTTACCTGAACTCGTAATATTGCCTTAAAGCCTGTAAAGCTTGTATTGTGTTTTTATGTGCCTTTTCCGTGCCACAGAGGGAAGAGTACATCAGTACTTTAGGGTGGTCCTCACCTCTACCAACTCTCACAGGACGCCCCCTCCCGTACCACCAGGCTTGGGTCTGATTCAGCCAGAGCTCATGGGGCTTGGGGTCAGCTTTGTCAACCTAGTCAACTTCAACAAAAAGGTTTACGGTCCTTTCTATGTGAGCATCCTGAAGAATCTACTTTTCATCGACATGCAAGCACCAACTCCGCAGAATGGGATCGTACAGGGGCCACCAAGCAGTCCACTGGAGTCCAAATAAACCAGGATGCATCATTTACTTGATTCGTTATTATCACCATACATTTCCCTCATGTGTTTCTCTCGTGTGAATTATTTGATGCTTGATTCAACGGAATCACTGCAGTACGAAGAAGACTGAAGAACAACAGTGTGCTATGGTGCTTAAAATGGGAAATTATGGATTGGGGGCGTTGTTGCTGTTTATTATGCTACAAAGAATCTATATTCCTTGCCAAGTTATATTTTTAGCATCTCTCTAACTGTGGTTTTCACTTGACAGTGTTACTGCAAAGAAATGCAGTCATTACGTACAGTATATTGACCATGTTTAGGTGCAAGGCAGAAATGTTTCTATATTTACAGTTGTTAAAGACATAGCCAAAATAGGCTAATATATTTACATAGATCATTTACAGACTTTTGAGAATATGTTGTTATCCATTTAGAGATACCCGAATTGTTGTTTCCCATGCCCATTTTCTAGATCATAAAAAAAAGTTTATTGGAGCATACTGTAATCCATCAGCAACAAAGTGAAATTATTCTTTGTTTGCTACACATTATTTTGAAAGTGTTGTATTACAATTGTTAACTGTATTTATACTTAAATATTGTCCGAGTTTCTTATTCTGCATAATTTGAAAAGGAAGAAACTTGAAATTATATAAAGAGGGAGAATCGAGAACTCTGGGAAGATAAAATTGAACAATATTGTTAAATTAATCTGATTTTTTTTATTTTTTTATTTTTGTCCTGGTTGTGTCATTTTATACAGATATGACTGCATGATCATTTGTCGTCCTTTTCTATCCTTTAGACATCAATATTTGGGCTAGTTTTGTATGCCATTTGTACATCATTGTGCTTTGTTACAGGCATGTTTGTTTTATTACTGTTGTTTTTGAAAATTAAGGCGATTGTCTTAAATAATGTTTGTGCTCTTACGTTTAGTTAAATTAATAGTTTTATTATAACTAATTACCAAACCGCATAGATCAAGACCCTTGTTTTGCTGGTGATAATTTTTTTTGCCGTTGTGACAAGCGAATGAATGACATCTTTGTGTGGAAAGCCATTGTTTCAACATGACAGACCTTCAATTTAACAATTTTGCAATAACCTATGTGTTGTTTGTTTTCAAGATGTAAGAACCCTTGTAAGAACAACAAAATGTGTGTAGTGTGACAAGCACTAAAAAAAATACAAATAAAAGAAAGTGTGAAAACTAGTTCATATTCCTTTAAACCTGTTTCTGCATTCATCTGACAGCATTTAAAAATTATTTTGTTACATTTTTTAAACTAAATTAATCAATTCATTTTTAATTAATTTAATTACTGTATGTGGGGGAAAAATATATATTAATAGTTAAATCTCAACCTGGTCTATATTTAATTTGTCGGAGCGCAATTAATGTGCCCGTTGCTTCATAATTAAAACTCTTATTTTGCAAGAATACTACTTCCGGTGTGTTGATGTCACGCTGATGACATCTGTAGCTAGTTGAAGGCTAGCCGTGTCAAACTCACAACCATCCTAGCTTTCGAGACCAGTGTCACTGTTATTTAGTGTCTTTTCATCATTTCGAAGTTTTAATCATGATGCAATTCATAGTAAGTATTTACATCTGTTCGTGAGATTGTAAATGTGTATTTATTCGCTTGCTAATTCACATTGTAGTAGCTAATAACTAAGTAACTAGCTGATCAAAGGGTTTAATTTGAACTAAACATAAACATTTAAATCCGGATAATTTATAATATAGAAGAATGTATCTATATGTCACATAAGTTTGTTGATGGAGCATCTTGTTTTTCCAGCTTGGCTTCACTCTGGGGAACGTGGTTGGCATGTATCTGGCACAGAATTACGAGGTTATACATTTAAAAACAATATTTAATCTGTGCCTAAAATCTTATAATAAACTTATTTTAATAAGACTGGACTAAATAGCATTAGTCTTGAAATAGAGAACAGCTCCACTGTTTAGTGATTAATGTCTGATATAATTTATTTATAACGTTTTCCAGGTACCCAATATTTCAAAGAAAATCGAGGCCTTTAAGAAGGACGTGGAGGCCAAGAAGAAACCCCCAGAATGAGGGACAGGAGACCAGCCCTGTGTGGAAATATGGCTAAATGTAATTAACTAAAGATGGTGGAACATTTAAGAACAAGAATATATAATATAGTATGCGTTAAAATATAAACAAATTAGCCCTCAAGGGGCACAGTATATTCCTAGTGTCAAATAGTGCCTCAAAATCCCATTTGTTTTTAAAAGTTGACATGTTTTGCATTTTGCATTGTATTCTCTCTCTCTCTCTCTTTCTTAAATCAGGGAAATTTTGTTTACACCTGATTTATTTGCGGTTACCTTTTGGATAGTTATTCATTAATATAATTTTTTTTTTTTAAACCCAATGGAATAATTTTTGTTTTCATTTCTTCTTTTTTTTTGGTCAGAAACAGCTTGCAGTGTGATGCAGTTCTTGGGTTTCCTGTATTTATGGAGAAACATGTTTGCAGTGCAAATAGGAACTGCACATAATAATCAGTTATTCAAAACAAATTACTGCAATGTTTCATAAAGGCTACTTAATATTATGCAATAAAGATGTGAGATTATATACTAATAAAATGCGTGTTTTAAGTTGTTGGTTGCCAATATTGTCATTTTCTAGTAATACTTACGAAATAAATGTCACGCTTAAATGTATCAAATGAAAAAATGCTACACGTGACATTTTTGTTAATTAAATTTAGGTAAGACTTAAGGGGTGCAACATTCAAAATAAACCTTTACATTTTTCATACTATAAAACCTTTGCTGAATAATTGTTTGTCTAAAATACACCAGGGAAACAAGGGGTTAGTATGATGCTTTAACAAATAATGGGACACCAACTGACACATTATTCATGGAAAAAGCCAAAAACATCCACTTTAAGATCATCATCTTATATGAAAGTATACATTACATAAAAGCTTACACTTAGGCTGATGATACACGGGGCAACGTTTTGAGTAATCCAGATAGACATTTGTTACCCATCCTCAATGGGGAAGTGTCTAAGCAACATTGCTCAAAAAAGATGATGCAATTTTGAAATTGATGTGTGAATGGTGCCTGTAAAAAGACGGAACGTCATTGCCTATGTGCACAGCGCATTTTTGTATTTACCGGTAAAGTCGTTCCGGTAATTTTACGGCAATTTACTGGTATTACTGTGTGAAAGGGGCTATAATGTAGAAACCTCCACAGGTAGACCGGCGTGTCCTGTTAAAAGTGTGCTGTTGTAAGTTTTGACCGGCAGATGGCGCGGTGCACACGGAAATAACTTTATCTGTGGTCCAATTACTACAGTTGCATCACGGTGTACATTTCTTAAGGTTATTATGGTTAAAATTATGTAAAATAATACATATTAACAGTTTATATATATATATATATATATATATAGTCTAGTATTTATCACAGTGACTTTTATCACGTCATCACTGGGCACGCAAAAACAAGCTTTAGATTTGTTAAGCGTAGTACTTATTCAAAATAGCAATTATTCAGAATATTAAATTGATACGAGACGCATTAGGTTTGTAAAGTTTATCGGTTAAAGTTTCTCCGGAAGCTGTAAGTGAGTGTTTCCGGTACTCGTGGCCGCGGCTCCTGTGACAGCTGTTGAGCGAAACAAGCCAAGATGATCTCCCTCACCGACTCCCAGAGTAAGATTAACATAACCTGTCTCACTGACAGCTCTTCCTCAGACAGTGTCTAGCGTCAGTGCTTTCACAAAGCCTGTGGTCTTTATTATTTCGCCTCTCTGAGTGTTTATGTGCGTATAGATTCATGCAGCTGCGTACAGATGTCACTCCACCAGTTACAAGTATAGCGTAAACGTCTGGAAACAAACAAAATAGATGTTCTGGCTGAACACCCGCTTTAATTTTGACAGTGAACTGCACCAGACGCACTACATAAAGACAGAATCATCATAATCATCAATAAGAAATAAAAAAAATCACATATTTGCAAATATTTTCTAAGATGTGCCATTAAATGCAAATTATATATATATATATATATATATGTCATTGATTAAAAACGATTTTTTTGTCAATTTTTCGAAATTGAGATTTATGCATCGTCTGAAAGCTGAATAAATAAGCTTTCCATTGATGTATGATTTGCTATGACAGGACAATATTTGGTCGAGATACTATTTGAAAATCTGGAATCTGAGGGTGCAAAAAAAAAATCAAAATATTGAGAAAATCGCCTTTAAAGTTGTCCAAATGAAGTTCTTGGCAATGCATATTACTAATCAAAAATGAAGTTTTTATTTATTTACGGTAGGAAATTTACAAAATATCTTCATGGAACATGATCTTTGGCATAAAATGTCCTATCCTAATGATTTTTGGCATAAAAGAAAAATAGATAATTGTGACCCATACAATGTATTTTTGGCTATTGCTACAAATATACCCCAGCGACTTAAGACTGGTTTTGTGGTCCAGGGTCACATATATACTAGTTTCTGATCAGTTTCTTTTGTATACGTTTGTTGTGAGTAGTATCTACACATTGATTTACTACAGATTTCTACTTCCATTTTCATCATATTCTTCATTATGCTGCTCTACAGTTTCCTGGTATCAAGTGTCTTCTCATAATAGTTCAAACACAATTTTTAAAAAGTAGTTTATATAACTTTGTAGTACAAGTGCACTGAGACACAAAAGCACAGATCCCTCCACCCAAAGCCAGTTTTTCTCTCTCACCTCTCTCTTGGTCTTCATTTGTCTCAGATCCTTTTTGTTGTCGGGCTGGCATTTGTAATCGGGCTGGAGAGGACATTCAGGTTCTTCTTTCAGAAGCACAAAATGAAAGCCACCAGCTTCTTTCTAGGAGGCGTCTTCATAGTGCTGATTGGATGGCCCATCGTCGGAGTGATTCTAGAGTTTTATGGATTCTTTCTGTTATTCAGGTATTTTTTTTTTTTTTTTACAGGATTAGGAATCTCTTATCCAGCCAAATTATGCAGCTACATAACTAGTAGCTCTAAGTAGATATGTTAGAAGTCAGCTGGTTTTTAATAGATGCCAATACAGATTGGCTGAAGGCAGATATAGATATTATATACGCAGAGACAGTACAGATAAATGATAATTTAATAGTAAATGAGAAAAAAAGTGAAAATTAAAATGAACACTTATTTTACACAATGTTAAGTAAAACGATTATATTATTTAAAATGTACATTATTCATTAAGTCTTTTGGTAGGTTTTGGAACTGAAAGCAAAGCAAACTAACATTTCAGATCATAAATGATTCCAGTACTTCCTAATAATATATCAGTCTATATTCACATACGGATGCTTTCTCTTCATGTGTAGGGGATTCTTTCCAGTGGTCGTAGGCTTCATCAGGAGGATTCCTGTGCTGGGATACTTGCTGAATCTTCCCTTCATTAGTGGGGTAAGTTGATGAAGAAGAGATTGTGAGCTGGTCTTTTTATTTCCATATAAGGATCCTCTAAGATCGCAGTGAATTTAACACGTGTCCTAACCAGGCATTATGCAATAAATGACAGATAACAAACATGAGCTGTCTGTCACACCATTAAACAAGTACGTTCTGATTGAATGTGATTGTGTTAACATTTACACTATCAGTGTGAACAGACACATTACTTATCAATATAAACATATTACATCGTATCTGTTTAGGACACAAAATAAATTCACTTCAAAAGCTTTTGCTTGCTTTAGCAGCTATGAGACTAACATGCTTTTCCACTAAATGCCAGAAAAGTGTTTTTCAACGTGCGTTTGTTGTTCTTTTAAAGCCTTCCTAAGGCTGAGTGGACAGTCAGCTATCTTGGTCAGTCACTGCTAATTCTGTGCGCATGTGAGCATGAATCATGCCGTCCTGTGTGCACTGAATATTTTAAGTGATAAATGGATCATGAATCAGATTAGATGTAATTGTAATTTCATATCTATAAATAATTTTTTCCTTGAAAGTGTCCTAATTCTTTTTTTTTTTTTTTACTCTTTTTGTTTCTTCAGTATGTGGACAAAATGAGTGAAAGCAACAACATGGTTTAAAAGACTTTTTTTTACCGCTTATTTATGATGGGTTTTCTAAAGGATTACCTTAAAAAAACCATGAGAAGTATAGAGGTCGTATTACGGAACTTTATATTCAGACGCGTTTCCATTGCAAGGACGTCTGAGTGATATTTACGTCAGTGAGACGCAAACTGTGCAGCGTGGAAAACAAGCCACTCCTTCGCCAGCCGGCCAAAGCAAAGCGATCTATAGAGCTGCGTCACAACATCCAGCATCCCTGAAGAACTGTGCCCTACTTTATAAATGCAAACTTCATGAAGAAGTTACTGGAGATCCTGGTTTGAATGTGTAGAAGCGACTTCTGAAAGTCTATTCTGTTACAACAATGGCCTTGTTACATGGTTGTGTCTATATTTGTATTTTAAGTCATATTTTTCTATGACACCTGCTGAAAATGCAAGTGTGATATTTACACTTTCTGGTCAAATTAAACTGTTACTAATCAGACTGGTATACAGAGATGTTGTTCTTATTATTATAATAATGATTTATTAGTATTATTAGTATTATTATTATTAATTTTGTTCTTTTTTTGTCTTAAAAAATGTATCTCTAATTTTTTATCACTGTCAAATTGCAGTACTGGGGTTTCAAAATGTTTCTGCTGCCACAAACTTTTAAAAATATATTTAAAACCTGATATGAGGTCAGTGTCATCATTATTATTATTAATATTATTATTATTGCTTCATTAGGTATTGGGGGTATACAGTAAAAATGCAATATTGACATTTTTTGGGGGTTCCTCAAAAAGGGTCTTTAAAAAGGTATTATTATTAATAATAATAGTAGTAGTAATAATAATAATAATAATAATAATAATACAAAATATTATAATATTGATATTATAAAATTATGCTTTATATTAAGTTTAAATTAATTATCACCAAGAGCAACAACAATTAATAATACATTTTCTCTATATGCACACTTTCTATAAAACAATTATTTTATATATTATGATAAAATAATTATATTTTTATTATTGTTCTTGTTGATACAAATCAAATTATTTTATTCATTAACCTGAAAAACAACAAATTGTGTCAAGTATATTGAGGAACGAGACAGACTTGTTTTCTTCTTCTGCCTAATTTTTACTCTGCCAAGATTTGTTGTTTTGTAATCTATTTCAGAGACCATACACATTTAAGTTTGTTTCTTATCCCTTATTCCCTTTGAGAAGTGCCATAAATTGCAAGTAATTTGGAGGCAGAGCCAGCAGATATTTATACATGTAGTGTCAAGTAGGGAAACCCCATCAGCCGCTCACTGTTCATTCATAAAAAACGATTAGCTGGTGTATTTGAGATGCTTCATTGCTGAAGGTGTAAACATATCAATACTTTCCGCCCACTTCTTTTCATTAGTCAGCTATTAAAAGTGCGCACGAATGGAAATTTCCCTTCAGTAGCGCTAAAACGCATAATAGCTAACAGTAAATGTAGCCAGCCCTGCGAGTGTGTCTTCAAACGTCATAGCAGTAAAGTAGGCTTATTATTTTTAAAGGAAGGGTTAACTAATCACTCTGAAAGGTTCGTGGTCCGGCCCCATTGTGAATCAATGGGACTTGACCTATAGCTGAAGACTAATTCATTCAACATTCCCCCACCCTGGTGATTATAAATATCGAGGACAGACTTCACAGTCTTCACTCTTGATCTTGCCTCTGAGACTCAACAGTTGAAGAGAACGTCTGACACTATGAAAGTAAGTCCACATTCATGCTTGCATTTGTCTCGTAGACTTTAAGCAATTAACTTCTAACTAGACCGAATATAAAAAAAAAAATTAAAAAAAATTAAAAAGAGAGAAGCTGATGTGACTACCAGAAATTTAGTCATTTTAATATCAGGAATCTTGTATTGGTACTTTTGTGCATAATGCAATTAACAATGAAGAGAAAAGAGACTAAAATACAGTGTTATATAAAAGGCTGATTGTAATGCTCTTGCACATGGGAAATTATATATTTTAACATGACTTCACCTTTTCAGGATTTAAGGACTCTTGCGGCTTACGCACTTGCGCTGTTACTTCTGGCAACATTTGTGTCCCATTCCTGGTGTGCGCCCAAGGTATGGTAATATTATTTATTTAAACATTTACTATTTTAATTTTAAAATTGTAATTATTTGCAATTTATTTTATTATTTTGTATAAATATTTGAATTATGTTCAATATACAAGTGCAAAAAATCTGTCTTTTTTAAAATTATAAAGGGCAGTTTTCAGCGTCGGAATTGGACGCCTCAAGCCATGTTATATCTGAAGGGCACACGTATGTTCCTGCTGTTTGTCAACCGTATTTGTGTCTAAAACTGCTTATACGATTACTTTTGTTCCGTACAATTTTAAATGAATTAGTTTTTTATTGTTTATAATAGAGGGACGGCGCTTTGTGTCTGAAGACAGAAATGAAGGGGACTTGTATGACACAATACGCTTGGGTATGAACTAAAAACTCACAGTTTGTGACTTTTGTTCTCTAAACCATTATTTATGCTTGCTGAGACTTTAGTGTTCATATTGAATGCAAGTGGGAGACAACTGGTTTCATACTAAGAAAGTGTAATACTAATTGTAAGCTTGTAAATAAATATTAGTATAATACGTAAACTGTCATTCTCCACAGAGTCACGCAGCCAAAACACAGAAAACCTGAGCATCTCTAAAGCGGCTGCATTTCTCTTAAATGTTCTCCAGCAAGCCAGAGACGAGGGGGAGCCTTACTGAAACCAGCTAAAAGAGCGCCAACAACTCACTCTTTCATCTTCCAGTTTTGTGAGCCATGTGGAATTTAATGTTTTCATCCTCCGCTACAGTGATGCCCGTGTTGGACATCTCTGAAGGTTCATCACTTACTGGTCAACACTATTACAGTCAGATTTGAGTAATGTAGAGTTATGTGTGTCTCCAGATTGTTTGTATGATTCCACTTGGACGGATCATTTAAATAACAAAGACTGGTAGTAAGATATTTTTATTTCTTTACTTCTTTCAGGGGAAATAATGGGTTGTTTTTTCAAGACATATCATCTTGGAAAAGAGACTACTTATGATGATTGAAATTCTGTGTGATATATAATTAACTGTACAGATTTTTTGTCCTTTTCATTTTCTCATGTTAAATCAACATGTGAATTGAATGGTCTGTAAAATGCATATTTACGAATGTGTGAACATTTTCTCAATTAATTAAACTGAATTTGCACTGATAACCGCTAGTGTGAGTGAGACTTTTTAATAAAACATGGATAGGATACATATTTGCACATTATGTGGTTGAACTTTGCTAATCATTGATATATATAAAGGTGTTTTTTTCCCCCAACATTTGCACAAATTATTATTGCCTCATATGGCACCAATATGCCAAATTTGGTTTAAAACACCAAAACGATGTGTGTTTAGTACCAAATTTATATCCAAAAGTCTAGTGAAACCATCCGAGTTGCATGAACTCCACAAGTTCATGTCAAACCTGATGATCATGTGATTTTTGAGGCTCAAGAGTGTCTTGAGCTTCAACAAAAGCAAGAATCATCTGTACAAATTAGTCCACATGGTTCAGTTATCATTAGTCACAAGTTTAAATGGGTTATTAAATCCCAGATTTTCAGTATCATCTCAGACTTTTGAATGCCACTGTATGTGATAGATATCTTCTCATTCATACTTTGAAGATACTTCATCAATAATCCATTCAAAAGCTGCAGTCAGACAAATGTAGCACGTTCTCAGAGGGCAGGGGGTGTAAATATGTCTGAAAGAGTCTGAACTACAGGAGCAGGAGGGTGCAGATCTTACTTCCCATTTTCCAGCGGTGGTTTACCCTCAGGCTCTGCACCCAGAGTGAACGGTGCCTTGATGTTCTGCCTGTCCCTCTCCGCCTCTTCCTCTTCGTCATAGGTGTCGTCATCTTCCTCATCGCTGTGGTGAGGGGATGAGTGGAGGGAAGCCGACGGGGATGGAGGGACGGAAGAGGGTCGGGGGTAACGGAAGCCTTGTGTCTGTGGAAACATAAAGATTTAGTCACTCCATTTAGATTTAGTCACCAATTCAAAATGAGTCAATTACATTAGAGACTTGTTTATTCATTTATGTCATAAAATGCCAGATTTATCTGTGTGTGTGTGTATGTGGTTTTAGTAAAGTATATGCGTAGATCAGCTGTGAGTGAGTCTATGGGGATCACCACAGTTCGAATGGAAATCAAGTCATCTTCCGGTGCAGGTAAATGTTATCCTGTCAATTAAACTCAAGAACGAAGCTCAGTCATTCCTCATCACTCTGGAGTGTTAGACGTCACACATACATTCAATAACACTCGGATTTGGAAAGAGATGAGGTGGAACAAAGTGGATATAAAGTATTTGCTCCACATCAGCACGAACTTGAAAATGATTTTATTTATGTTTGATGTATATAAATGATGTCATATAAACAATGTCATATAAACCTGTCTTTCAGGACAAGGTGTATTTGAGTGATTTCTGTAAGTTTATTTCTTATGGTATTTCTCATGTTTTCTGCTGTGTATAACAACAACAGGAGCGTTACAAAAGCCTCAGGGAGATTATTTTTGTTACTTTGCACTTAAGGTCTGCTTATAACCTTAAGAAATAAAAAAGCTAATGAAAAAAAATAATCAAATCCCCAATAGCTAAAGTATACAACATATGAGCCCTTGACATGCATGCAAGAAACTTACAATGTGAAAACAAAAATGTATGTATGTATATATATATATATATAAGCATATTAGAATGATTTCTGAAAGATCATGTGATACTGAAGACTGGAGTAATGATGCTGAAAATTCAGCTTTGCATCACGGGAATAAACAATATTTTAATGTATATTAAAATAGAAAAACGTTATTTTACATCATAATAATATTTCACAATATTAAATTTTTTCCTGTATTTTTGATCAAATAAATGCAGCCTTGATGAGCATAAGAAACTCCTGTAAAAAACATAAAAAATCGTTCTGATCCCAAACTTTTGACCGGTAGTGTATATACACACACATGCAGTATATATATAATTTTTAATTTTATTAATTATATATTAATGTCCTTGCCCTAGGGTCATACATTGAAACTAAGCACATAGCTTACATGGAGTGCAGCAATCCATTGTATTCTCATTGTCAGTGATAGAGGGACATGACAAGCCATTAACATGCATCGAGAGAGTGTGAGTGTTAGCAGGGCTCACCGGTGCAATGTTAAGATGGTCCATTTTGAATTCACTAGGGAAGGATCTGC